ACACTTATCCCATCCCATTCCGTGTAGCTCACTCCTCGAGAACACATATCTCACCTCATCGCCCACAATGTTCACTAGACTAATCACTCAACTCATGTCTAACTGGTAAATCTCTATAGATCCTAAGTTCTTGGGATAATCCTTTATCACCACATCACTTCTTCCAACCAACGTGGATAATGGTCTCCACCTAATAGAAGTGATAGAAGTGCCTCACTCGCACTCCACCTGATCATGGTCTCTTCACAGATAAAGGATTCCAACATTTGATCACATCTCCACCGTGATCCAAATGCCACACTCCACATCCCACAGTACAAACCACAATGTACCCTTAGACATCTATACTCCACCTTACCAAAAGACATCCAACATACTGCAAATGCATCACAACCCCACTATGGCAAATCAAAACATTTCGGCGACCACAAAGGTTAGGGCTCAATTTAAATTGACCCAAGCACCAACAAGGTTACTCCAACACCAACGCTCAAAAAATCCACAAAAGATAAAACCCATAAAGGGAAGGGTGACAGTGGCACTCACAAAGAGGGTAGAAGAAAGAGTTGGTTACTTCACAACACTCACAGAAGAGTCTCACATAGAGAACGAAGATAACCCTCACATAGAGGGTAGAAGATAAATTGGTTGAGTTGTTGGTTGCTAGTTTTCACTAGATTGGAAAATTTGGATGTTGTAAATATTGGAGAAGGTTAGAAGTAGCATTAGTTCTAATTGATTAAAGAAAATTTGGGAAATTTATTCAAGTATCAAGAAATCAAGTTTTAGTATTCGATTATTATATTTAGAGCTACTTAAAATGATAGCGGCTAAATTGGTTATTTAGTATCATATTTTAGGTGGTGACGAAATGATTGAAAAATCTTATCGACCTTCATAGCCTATAGCTTGTTTTGAGTGAGTGAAAAAACTTAGACTATGTTTGATAGCCATTATTTTGCCTAGAACTAGGAACATAATTTCCATTTTCTCCATTTTAGTTTGTTTGATAGCCAATAAATATTTTCCCACATGATGACTCATCTGCCCAAATTCCTTCAAATTGATAAAAATGCGGTGGAAAAGCATTTTCCATGTTTTGCCAATTTTTTTTTGATAATGTTAATAAATTTCATAACCAATTAGCCTCGGGCAGCTCTGCGCGCGTATGACCAGAATTACAAAACTTCAGAATTGAATTGAATAGCTTTGTCATGTATATTGGTATTAATCGATACGTGAGTATTGTTATTCCGGTGTATCTTTTTGGTGTGATAATTCGGTATTATACAACTTATCAGATTTCATACTACAAAATTTAGTTTATTCAATTTATAGAGTAAATATTTCAACTTATAGTACCATGAAAAGATATTTTCACTCATATTTACTGATATCAGATCTCTTATATCTGTTATACCTTACAGTTCTTTGTTCAGAATAAAGAGTAAATAATTTTATGATTCCATTACGCTTTAGTTTTAAAATTATTATCAGATTTCAGATTTTCTCAAAGTTGTAATAGCATAAATAAGAGTTTTCAGAAAGTTTAAATAAATGGAAAAAGTATACTTATTTGCAAAACATCTACTTACTAAGTTACAAGTTCATATATTTTGTCACAATTTTCCTAATCAGATATAGCTGATTTGAGCAGTGTTGGAGCCTGTCAATCCACTGAGTTGAGCCACACATTGTCGGTAATTTTATGACTCATTTTGTCAGTTTTAGTTCATATTTTTTTTTTGGGATTCATAGATCTTTTGCCAGAAAAGTTAAATTGTAATTTATGTATCCATATCACAGGCTCGCTACATATTTGGTATCTTAAGTGCATTTGGGGACCTTTGTTTGTAAATAATAATAAATGTCGATTTATTAGTATTATATTTTGAATAGTTTGCGTTTTGAGGGGCTGATGTGCCATATTTTAAATTATATGTACAAATTTGAGGAAATTGATTATTGTTCAAAGAGTAATTATCACATAACGTCCCCACCTTTCACGTTATTGTGGAAAATATCTTTACCTTTCATTTTTTGACATTTTTATCCTTGTTTCCACCTTTCATTGTACAAAATGTCATTTTCATTCATTTTCCCAATTAAAAATTGTAAAATGATTATTATACCCTTATCTTTAAGTAAAATAAAAAGAAAAAAATTAATTACAATCATAGTCCCAAATGTTTTAAAGAACGCAAATGAGTCCCAAATAAATTATTGAAAGGGTAATTAGCACATAATGTCCCTACCTTTCACTATTATTGCAAAAAAAATCCATATCTTTTATTTTTTTTGTATTGTCACCATTAATTACACATTTGAATACGTAAACAATTATTTCTATTAATTTTCATCCAATTTCTCAATAAAAAAGTTGTAAAATGACAAATATACTATCTTATTTAAATAAAAATCTAAACAATTAATTGTAACCATAGTTCCAAAATTTTTAAAAACTGCAAACGAGTCCCCAATAAATTAATAAAAAAATATTTTTTTATTAAAAAAATGTGCAAAATGAGTCCCAAATAAATTATTAAAGAATTACAATTTTTTTTAAAAAAATTTAATTAATGGTGAGGGTATATTCATTATTTTACAATAGGAGGAAGGTATATTCATTATTTTAAAGTTCTTTATTGAGAAATTGGATAAAAATGATGGTTTGCACAATCAAATATGTAATTAATGGTGAAAATTCCAAAAAAAAATGAAAAGTATGGACCTTTTTCCCAACAATGGCGAAATGTAGGGACACTACGTACTAATTACTCTTTCAATAATTTATTTGGGAGTGATTTGCGATTTTTTAAAAAAATTGGGACTATGATTGTAATTAATTTTTTTCTTTTTTCTTTTTGTTTTATTATAGGAAGGGTATAATAGTCATTTTACGATTTTTAATTGGAAAAATGAATGAAAATGACCTTTTGCGCAATAAAAGGTGAAAATAAGGGTGAAACTGCCTAAAATGAAAGGTAGAAACGTTTTCCACAATAACAATGAAAGGTGAGGACGTTATGTGCTAATTACCCTTGTTCAAACTTTTTTTAGTTTATATTATAAAGGAAATTTTGTCAAAATTTTTATAAAAGTATGTCACAGTTAAAGCTGGTTAAAATTGCATTGGTGATGGGTCCGACACTTAGCTGGTATCTACCATCGGCGCACGGCACGTATCGAGTCCACTAGAGTGATTCTGGACGGGTCGTGTTAGTTTGTCTCTTTCTAGACCACATGTCCTGGTAGCGGATTTAGCCCTCATTTGAGCTCCATTATTTGAAAAAAAAAAAAATCGAAATAGTGTTTTTTTATCGAAACAAACCTGAATTTTCGAGTGTTTAGTGAATGGAATCGTCAAGTCCAAATTTCATTATGGAACCGTTCAAATTCGATTCTATTTGGTTCGGTTCAGTTTAGTTCGGTTTGGTTCCTAAGTTCCATATAATAATTAATTTTTTTATATTAACAACAACGTTACATTAATTCAACTGTGACTATTCAATCTTAACTCTTACAAAATAACGTAATCCAATCTCGTGATATTTTTTGCACATTTCTTTATTGAGTTTTTCATAAATTTGACTGTTAAATCACAGGAAGATGAAAATAGCGAGTTCACAATAATAGAACAGTAGAAACGATACTACGATAAAATAAGAGATTGAGGTAAAATTTAAGGTCAATTTGATTAAGTTGGGCTTGGCTGAAAATTAGAAATAGTACAATCATATTTTGGATTTGGACTAAATTAATTAGTTAGTAAATTTATTTAGAAAAAATAAATAATTTGACTTATTTAAGATAAAAAAAAATTAAAAAAATTGGGGAGATTCAATTTTTCGTTTCTTCGTCTAGAACCAAGAATCTAACCAGTCCGTCGATTCTTGATTCAGATACCCGTTTCAGTATTTAATTTAAGAAGAACCATTCGATTTAGTTCAGTTCGATTCAGGTCTGATTCAGTCTGATTCTATTTGAGAGTTTTGTCCAACCCTAATATTTTTTGAAAAATGTGTGATTAAAAGAGATTTACTACACGTACACGGGAGTTGACACGCTCCCCTCACAAAAGGGGAGCCCACAATTTTTTTAATCACCGTGGGTCCCCCCCCCCCCTCGTGAGGGGCGTGTGACACTACTCCCTGTATATTTAGCATTTTTCGTGACTAAAAAGATGGGATAAATTTTGGATTTATATGTAATATTATTTTATCTAGAGATTGTGAGATTAGTAAGAGGAGAGAAAAAAATGAATGGACTTAAACTGCTAACTACGAAATCATACAGACCACAAAGTACAGAACTGAGTCAGCGGAAGACCTTAAATCCTAAAAGAATTTTTTTATTCCGGTGGCCCCACAGACATGTGAGTGAATGTAAAACTTGTGGCAAAAACTTTTCTGTACATATGATTCAATCCTAAAAGCTTGAGTTCTCTGCTATGGCAGCAACAAGTTCTTCCACTTCTTCTCTTCCCATTCAAAGGTATCGATCTAAAGAGATACCCGTTTGTCTATAACTTCATTTGTTTTAGTACTTTTATCAGCGTGAATTTACGTAAGCAGGCTGTTTACTTTATATCTGAGCGGTTTGATTTTTGAGTCTTAGAGATCGATATAGCTATTTATGTTGTTTTGATTTAGGTGAAAAATTCATAGTTGTGGTTTTAATTTATCAATAGGTATTATTGAAAAGCATTAGAGTTTTGAATGGTTGAAATTAGTGGATCACTTGGGAAATTTTCATGGCCAATGCAATTGAGTTCTGAATTTGTCCGTAAGTGGTGTGATTCAGGAGATTGAGATGAGAATCACACGGTGTCAAATCCTTCCAGCCGTGATTTTGGCTAGAATATCTTCAACTTTTAAGGCAAAGGGTGTTTTGGGTGTGTGGAGGTTCTAAATGTTGTCCTTTTTAGGAAAATTAAACTTGCTTGAACTCTATTAAAATAATTATATCGTCCTCCAAATGTTGGCTGAAACTGTATTTTAATGCTCCTTAGAATTTTAGAACCTATGGTGGATCTGGCATCTGTTGCGTCGATTGGATCCTTTAAGATTTCAACTTCTGCTAATATTATAAAGCTTATGAATCACCAAGAGTTGAACTAACAGTTGAAATTTCAGTCTGTTTTGAAAAGCTCCATTTGTTCTTGTAATTGGCATTCTGAATAAGAACATCTCTAGAATTTTTGGTCAGTGGGTTTAGGTTTCTCAAGTTGGCTGCCAGAGAGTATATGATTGCTGTCAAATAACTAGTAGACTCCGCTATTGTAATAATAGGAAAGGACCAAAATTTTCAATTTGGATTCTTGTGTTCCTTCAAAATCATTAGATTTTTAATACAATCAGGGTGGGGGGTAATTACCCCAGGATGACATAGGTCATCTTATATATCTTATAGATATACTAGGGTATGATAGCTTATCTAGTGGAAAGTGTGTAATTTTTTTTATCTTCACTCAAGATTTTCTTTGATTAACTTGGGCATATGGGAAAAGGATCAGGGAATAATGAAACCTAGTTCACTTGCTGAGTCTCTTTGCATCCATGGCTGAATGGGTAAAGCTCCCAACCGGGAAAATTCCTAGATTCGATTCCTGCTGGATACACTTGGAAGGTTCAGTTCAATCATTACTCACGGAATATATACACATAGCTCGCCTGCGTTGTTTATTTTCTATTTTTCACCAATATGGATTTTGGTCTTAACAAAGATTTAAAGAATCACCCTTTTAGAAAAGGTTCGTCAACGATACTTGCATATTCAAACTGGAAAGATGGCTATGTGAGTTAAGTGTTGCTAAAGGGGTCAACGGCAACATTTTAATAAGTGAATGTTGTTATTGGATTAATATAATTGACTTTTGGCAACATTTGATAAGGAAATGTTGCTAATGTCACATTTTGCGACATTTAATGTATGTTGCGAAAAGTTTATCATTTTGCAACGTTTATTAGACGTTGCAAAAGTTTATCTTTTTGCAACGTTTATTAAACGTTGCGAAAGGATAAAATTTTTGCAACGTTTAAAAACATTGCAAAAAGGGTATATATTTTGCAACGTTTAATAAACGTTGCGAAAGATCAACTTTTTGCAACGTTTATTAAATGTTGCGAAAGGTAACATGAGCAACATTGATTAAACGTTGCAAAAAGTAAGGAGGATTAGGCGTGCTGGGTTGGGCTGCATCTTGGGTTGATTATTGCGTAAAAAAATTAGGCCTAGGTCCAATTCACTTACCCAAAACAAGAAACCGATAGGCAGTAACCCTTCTAGTCCTATTTATTCCTTCTAATTTCGGGGCTAAATACACGCGAATCCATCTCCTTCTTTGACTCTGACTCCTACTCCGACGAAGTGGAGCCTCTTCCCAATTCGCTAATCCCAAAGCTGAAGCACGCGACTCTGACTCCTACTCCGTCGAAGTGAACACTTTTCCCAATTTCTCATATCCAATTAGAAGCTAAAGCACGCTACTCCGACTCTGACTCCTACTCCCATCTGTAGCAAAATTAAGGTTTGTTTATCTGTGTTTTTCATTAATGATTTTTTCATTTCGCTATGTGTATTTGATTATGTATTTTACATTTTTACTATGTGTTACAAGGAAAATAGAATCGAATAGAATTTTGGATTTATCTTAGCAAATATCAAATAGAATCGAGGCTTTCCCAAACGTTAAAAGCTGAATTTAATTTTTGGATTAATCTTAGCAGATCCCTCTCGAATATTTAGGTATGTAAATTGCATTTCTTGAGCTAGTAGAAGACCATAGCGTAAGCGAGTGCCTCTTCGTACTGTGCTGAATGGAGAAGGGAACCATAGTGGTTAGTTGGGGGATTTGAATGGTTCTACCTCAATAGCTGAAGGTGACTGGCTTATTAGCTAAACCTGCTACTGTGCTGCTTCAACTGTTTTTGCTGCCAGGCCTCATTATGATTCACAACCACTGTAGGTTGGGTCAACGATACTTGCAACGTTTCAAACTGGAAAGATGGCTATGTGGTAGAAGGTTTTGGATATGAAATTACCATTACAGCATTTGACTCTGTAGCCCTTCCTTTTGCAGCAAAAACTGGAGCTTATAATGAATTAGTTTCATTCTCCTTCTTTTTCCCTCGAAGAAAATAGGGCTTAGTCATCCCACTTTCAAATTGTGGATTATAATTTAATGAGTACGGAAGAAGTTTGTGCAAAATAAAACTGAAATTCCTTTTCCAAATCTTAGCTGTTACTTGATTTTTGGAAACCTGTGGTCTTTTAATGACAAAATAGTCCAATTACTATTTTCTCCTCTATATGCATATTTTAACTTTCAAAGCATTGACATATGTTTATTGTTTATATTTATTTTCAGTCTGGAATGAGGGAAGCTGTTTGTTGTTCTTTTCGTCTGGCTATATTACCTTTCTAACAAGAACAAAATGAAAATCCTCATTGGAATTCTTGTGTTAGCCTTCATAATTGAGATTTATTTAAGTTTATACTGGGGTTTATAGCTAGTAGTTATCTTCTTTTAGAGGCTGATGTGTCCTAATTTCTACGACCTGGAATAACCGATTTTGCTCTATACCAAAACACTTCTCATGAAACCATTCAAATGTTTTCTTTGTTCTGGTGACTAACAATCTATGGAGATTGGTACCAAACTTGGTGAATTCCCAATTACCTTGGGTTATAAAACTATTAGAAATGTTTTAAAAAAATAATAATAATAAATCAAAACCACTTGCAATGGCGTGTTTTATTAATAATAGAAATAACAGCAGAAATCAACTTAGGATGAAGCTAGACCTAACCTTCAACAAGTGAAAAGTAAAATGCTGCAAAACAAACTATAAGACTTTATCCCACCAACAAGGATAGTACATGAGAAAATAAAAAAAGAAGGCTTAAATCTAGTTCTAGTATGAGTACTTCCTTCGATGTGTCTTTTCATGTGTTATGGCCTACCTGAAACTGTAGGCCTCATCTTGCGAATCATATCCATAGGTTGTAGGTTCCCTATCAAACATGTCCGCAATATCTTCATCACCGGAGATTGGTTGAATATTTATTTTAGCGTTGACATATTTTATTGATCTTCATAACGAAAACATATTCAATACCCTCTCGGATTTTTATATTATGCACTCATCTCCTTTGACCATCTAGTTAACTATATGGAAATTTTTGCTGATATGACTTTTCACTTTTATTGCATCTTCTAAATTCAATTCAATTTATTTTGTGATTATATTCCCTTTTCCTGGGCGAGAATAGGTCAAGTAACTAGATATAAACTTGTGATCAATTGTTGTAAGCAGGTCTTGTTGCAAAATCATTGTTTCATCTCTATGCTGTGAATGTTTATGGGTGAACTTATGTATATATATTTCTTATAAACATATCAATGATGAACTTGGTTTTTTCAGATTATTAGGAAAAGTTGCTTTGGTCACTGGAGGTGCTGGTGGTATTGGACTTAGCATCGTACGCCTGTTTCACAAACATGGTGCAAAAGTTTGTGTAGCTGATATTCAAGACGATATTGGTCAGAATTTGTGCAAGACCTTAGGTGACAACACTTCCGTTTCCTTTTGCCATTGTGATGTGACACTTGAAGGTGACGTCAGTCGTGCAGTTGATTTCACAGTTGATACGTTTGGTACACTTGATATAATGGTTAACAATGCTGGGCTGTCTGGCCCACCATGTGCAGATATTAGGAACTTTGATCTCTCTGTGTTTGAGAAGGTGTTTGATGTAAATGTAAAAGGCGTTTTCCTTGGAATGAAACACGCTGCACGGATAATGATTCCAGCTAAGAAGGGGTCAATTATATCTATGTGCAGTGTTGCATGTACCATCGGTGGTCTGGGCCCACATGCGTACACAGGGTCAAAGCATGCTGTTTTAGGGCTCACCAGGAATGTTGCAGCAGAGCTAGGGAAACATGGTATCCGTGTGAACTGCATTTCACCTTATGCTGTTGCAACGAGTTTGGCTCTGGCCCACTTACCGGAGGACGAGAGGACTGAGGTTGCAATGATTGGTTTCCATGATTTCGTGGGGAGGAATGCCAACTTGCAGGGCGTGGAATTGACAGCCGATGATGTGGCAAATGCTGTTGTCTTCTTGGCCAGTGATGAGGCCAGATATATAAGTGGGTCAAATCTCATGGTCGATGGTGGTTTCACATCTGCAAACCACTCTCTTCGGGTATTTAGGTGAAAGTATGTAATATTTTTGAGCAAAATTGACTTGTGAAAAAAGGAAACTGAAAAAACAGGTGTTTCGCTGTTTATTTTGTTGGTGTTACTTGGTGAATCTTGCATAATTTTTTTTTCTTCGAGTGGCTAAGAATATTGAACATAATTATTCTTCATCAGCTGTGCTTCCTTCAAATCTAATTATCATTTTTGCTTTCCATATTGCCATGTTCACGCAGTATTACAAGCAGCAACTATTGCAATCGGTTCTATTTCATCATAAGCTTAAATTCTATGATGATCTCATTTTATACTTGGGAAAATGCTCTGTTAGTTGCCATGGATGGCTTGGAGAACCTTCGAGGGGGTTAGAATCCTAGAAAAATTATCCTATAGATGTAGTGAAAAGAACTAATCGTTGAGTTAGGTACTGCGTTACTTATAAAACATGTCTGATTTGGGAAAAGTTTGTCTCTTTTTATTATATTGCTATTAATTTTACATTCTCTTGCAATTTTTGTATCAAGAACCTCCGATACTCAGGGATAGAACGCTTAGTTATTTGTAACTTGATATGTAAAGAGGAGTCACTTTTATTTCTATTTATTGCGGATGATATATGGGTGACTATAACAATTAATCTACCGATTTCTCGATTTTCTAATAAAAAATTAATAAATTCATAAAAACATTCTAATGAACAACAAAATAAAGTAAACGAAGCATGCTTATCTGATGGCATAAAATATAAGAATTTAAAACAATATGTTTATAATGGCCTGAAGTACTTTACCATTCAACAAATTAATTTTTTCAATTTTTTTTCATTTTTTAATTCTCTCTTAGCCTTTTTCTTGATTTCTAAAAAGCCCTAAACAAACTCCCAAAATTGGGATAAAACATCGCCAACTTAACTCAAATGCTTAATTTATCTTTTAGCCATGGAATTCAGAATAAAAGGTTAAGAGCGTTTGGAATTTTTTTAAAAAACAAAATTATTAAATAGAAAATTATTAATATTTTGTTTTCGAACAAATTAATTGCTTACTTGGCGTTTCTCTTTTTATGTATTGCCCGAAATTTAAAATAAAATAAAAGAGAATTATAAAACAAGAAGGAAGTATTGAAGAACTAGCTTTAATTTAAAGTCTTTGAATTTACAAGGATTAAAAGAATTCTTGAGTACAAGTGTTGTAAGGTGTTTTTAATTTTTTTTTTTTTGGTGTGTGTATTGTGTGAATATCTTGGTATTTATAGGAAAATAGATACTAATATATCACATCTATTTTTAAAAAGTAAATACATGGGTGTGTCTTACAATCAAAAGTACAACTACATTGTTACAAGTGTGTGACATAAATTGAAAGTTCTAAAAAATATTTTTAAAAAGTTTGTATGTACGCTCTTCCTTTATAGATTCCTTATTTAATAATTGTCCTTTACTACTGTTCATTGCTCTTCTTTTCGTGGTTTGCCTTTAATAATTGTCCTTTTGAATACTGTTCTTTGTTTCTGAGTCTTTTCAGTCTTTGCATTATTGTACTGAATTTATGTTACACCTCATTCATTTATAGTCAAAGTCAAAGTTAAATGAGGATTAAGTTGAATAAATGATTTTATGGGATCTAATTGGTAATTACTAATATTTGAAGGGCTAGAAATAATATAAAAATAAATATACGGAGTTAGTTTATATTATTAGAAATGAAAGGACTAAATAGGATATGGCAAGAAGATTGGGGACTTGACTTTGAAATTTCCCTATAGTTATCCATTTAACTTGGTTGTATATATCCATTTTGCTCATTTCTTTGGAGGGGAGCAAAGAACTGAGACCGAACCCGTAGAGAAAGGAAAAAAAAAAGAGGAGAGAAAAAAAGAAAGGAAAAGAAAGAAAACGAGGAAGAAGAAGAGGAAACCTGAAGCTTGGAACCACTTTGCTCAAGTCTAATTTCCAGTGGTTGTAATATAATGTAAGTTGAGAATATTAATTACGAGGAAATTATTTTTCTTAAGTTAATAGTTGATGAAGTCGCTAATATAACTGTAGAACAACAAGATATTGAAGAGAAGAGCTAGGAACATTATAGGTTTTTGCATTCCTTTTTTGAGAAATCAATTAGGGAATGGATCAGTGTTCTAAAAGGCGTAATGCGTTGCGATGCGTCGAGGTCGAGAATCAAGAATCACAAGTTTAGGCGCATCAATGCGAAGAATAAGCATCATAATGCGTTTCGTATTTTTAATATTATTTTAATTATTTTTAAGGAATTAAATATATTTTTATATAAAAAAAACAGATTTTTTACAAAAAAAAAAATTCTGTTCGAAAATGCGCCGCCTAAGCGCGCATATGCGCGCCATTTTGCCAAAATGCCACGCCTAGGCGCGCATATGCGCGCTTAGGCGGCGCATTTTCGAACAGAAACGCATTTTTACCCGCATTTCACCAATTCGACGCGTTTGGCTCTCGCGTCGCTCCTAGGCGGCGCGTTTTGGCGCCTTTTAGAACAATGAAATGGATTAGTTTAAATTGCTTATGTGCAACTAGGGCTGTCAATGGATTGAGTTTTGATACGAATCTGACGAAATTAATGGAAGATGGATTTAGGATTTCAATCCGATAATCCGATCAAGATCCGAATCCGATAATCTATTAACTAAATAGATCAAATGTGGATATAAGTCAATCCGATCCGATTTGTTATAAATAATTGAGTGGGTAAAATATTTTTATGACATATTGTTTGTCACTAAATTAAATAAATGAGAAAATAAATAAATTTAGAATAAAAAATAATCAAATTCAAAACATAAAAAAGTTAAAAAAAAATTATAATTATTAAACTTGTTTAAGAATTGGAAAATAAAAAAAAAAAAGTTGATTTCAACCAATGTTTTTCTAATTTTAATTTACTAATTTAAAGTGAATAAATATCTTTATTTTTATTAATTAAATTTATTATTGTAATTTATTTTACAACTTCAAAAACTAATAATTAATATGTAACAAATAATTTGATTTGTTAATAGAAATAAAATATTTATATTTAGAATTCAAATTCAATTTTATATTATCCCACATTGAATGTCAATAGAAAAATAGAAGATGGTATCTCCTTTAAAAAGGAACATCATGATGGTAGAAGTCACTATTGGGCTTGCTAGGAAAAATAGGTGGGCCTCAAGTTAGTTCAAAATTTTTTTCATAATTTTTATTAATTTCGAATCGGATTATCGGATCGGATATCCGATAACATTGCCAATCGGATATGGATTTATCAATTAAATATTCATTGGATTATCGGATCAGATCGGATGAATTTTCTTATCGAATCAGATCGGATATATGCAGATCCGATTCATATCCGATCCATTTACAACCCTATGTACAACCACCATTTGATTATATAAAATTGTAAGATAGTTACAGAACAAGGAACATGAAGTGAATTAGTAAATTGAGAATTTATAATTTAATAGGTACAAAAGTGAAAAGGATTTTAGGTTTTTACTTCAGCCAATTGAATTGGAAATGGAAAAAAAATGTTCCCTATCATTTTATTATCAATTTGGAAACAATATGGAAACTTGTATATACATTGGCAGATGATTTATTGGCAAAACAATGGATGAAATTTGACAAGTAAATGAAAGCAAATTATTAAAGAAGTGAAATGGTTATTCTATTGTTCTTATTAAAATTGTGAATTGAGTTTTGATCCGAATAAATATATTATTATATCATAAGGTAGCGAAGAGATCGAAACAACTTACCAGCCAAACTAATCGCCCCGTAAATAACTTGTGAGTGGAAAAACTTCAATATTTTTCAAATATTGATAAATTAATTATACTATTATACATTTTATGCAATTATGTGAATTATTTGTCCAATTATATGATTAATGTGGAAATATTCTTTCATTATGATATATGTGGAATTCTGAAGATTGTATATGGATTATTTGTGAATTGGAATGTGAGACATATATTGGTATTGAGATAAACCAGAAAAGTACCCGTGATTATATGCTTATTCTAGTTCACGGAGGGGCATTGACCGTGTGTCTTGACTGTGGATGAAGGGGTCTTGACCGTGTACATATGGTTCACTGAGGGGCATTGACCGTGTTCGAGTATTGATTATGAGAGGTCTTTGAGACCCACTTCCGTTCAATAAGGGGGCCTGAGGCTCATGTCGGGACTGTTTAGCCCAAGGGATAGTCTACACGTGTATGATCAGATTACAAATTTCAGTCAGAAGGTACATTTTTGGTAGATTTCCTGATACATTTGATGTGATGAGATGATGGTATAGATTTCAATTGATGATTATGATGACTTCTCACTTTATTTTTATTATTATTATTGTTGTTGTTGTTGTTTTTGTTGTTATACTGTGGACTGTTGAATGATGTAAATTTGACGTGGATAAAAATGTGTAAATGGAAAAGCATAATTACTTTTGAACTTCTCCACTCACTGAGCTATCAACTTATATATTTTTCCACTATTTCCTTATCAGGTAGCAGTTGGGCTTTTGGGCAGCTTGTGGAGTTGAGCCTTGATTTTGGAGTCAAAGCCAACGACGAAGTTAGCTAGTATGACTCATTTTCTAGAGCATGTAGTCAGTGTATTGGGACACATGTTCATTTTTGGATGTCATTCCAAATCACTTGTAGATAGTTAGATGGGCTCACTATGTATTTTGCATCCATTTGTATAGTTGATGTTATTTTTGTAGTAAAAATTTGAGAATTCGTCTTATCTCTATATCGTGTTATACTTCCGTGGTTAATGAAGTGAATTATGAATTAACATTGATATGATATTATTGTTGGGAGTTGTATAAAATTGTTTACAGGTTAGTTAGTCCAAATTATAGGGGAGGTAATGCCGAAATTTTTATTAAAATATTTATAAGTTTCATACTGTAGTAACCTTGATAGTGGGTTCAACTTTTAGTTGGTATCTATCATTGGCGCACGTCACACTCCGAGTCCACTAGCTTTATCAGGAGTAGAGTGTGTCAATTTACTTTTCCATTATCTCTATGTAGGCATCTTCGAAATCTGTGTACATTTCATTATTTTTTCTGTCAAATATATTCTTCTACTTCTGTATTTGATTGATTCTCTAATATCTTGCCATCTGTCTCTTGGAAAGGCATTAGATACATTTTTCTACTGAAAGTTTGGCATATAAATTGTTTTTCCTGCAATGATTTTTGCAGCAAGACATTCTTTAGAGAAAGTAACTCCATTATCCCATTGTGCCACGAGTCTGAAGTTTATGTTTTGTATTTCCATCACAGCTGAAGTTTCTAAAATTTATTTTTCATAATCAATTTGTCTAATATATATATATTTTTTTATATCAGCCTTTGAGGAAGGTTTGAATTTTTATAGCTCTTTCATAAATTTTAATATAGCCCTTGCTTGAGTCCCATTTTGAGATAAAAACACATTTATTTTTGGAGAACATTTGGTCAAAAATTAAGATTTTTTTTCAATTTACGTGTAATATTATTTAATTGAAAAATGTGTTATTGAAAATGAGTTTTGAAAAAATGAATTTTCAAAAAAATGGGATTCAAACAAGTATATAATAGTAAGTAGGTATTACAATACCATTATTTATAAGAGGAAGTCTAGAAATAAGTTGGATCATTAAGGGAAGGTATTTTAATTAATCAAGAGTCTATTTCAGTTTGGGTGGAAAAGAATTGAAGGATCTGCTTAAAACATATATTGTATTAATCATAGCATACTGTAAGACCGGATAAAAAAAAGGTCTTCTTCTAAAATGGTATTGTCAAATGAAATTGTTGGATAATTATGTTTAAGGAATGTTGGATTTTTAATTGAAGATTTATATCTAGGGCCCTATTGAAGAAAATATCGATTATCTTTGTGATAATAACCTAGAGTTTGGGAGATATCGATTATTTCTTGTACAACTGAAATTTTGAACAATACTGCACAATCACCAATTTTTTGTTCAAATTCATATAAAGTTTTCTTCTATTCTGCTGCTGTAAAATCTGTTAATTCAACAAGCTAATTATTGATTAAGTTGAGCGAATTTCTATTCATAATTGTGTAATTATGGCTTTTGTAAGTCAAAACCCCAAAAAGAAAGAAAACAAAGCAAAATGAAGTGAAAAATGATCAAAAAACATACAAAAGGGTTAACTTGGGGACCAAAGTGCACAAGTCCCAAAAGCTGAGGGACCTTGGATGCAATTTATGAGCGGCATGATTGATATGAAATTCAATATTCGATGACCAAAATGTGTAGCTCACTACAAGTGTTAAAAATAAAGTTTAACGGAGTTGGGTAAAATATGAGATTTAATTGAGAAAGAAAATGAAAAAAATAAAGAAAAAGAATTAAATAGAATTGGTGCAGTTGTATACGATTTTTGGGCTTAGATAACAAGTAGGTTTGAATTAGTTAGGATACGATAGAATGTGAAGCCCTCATTATTGGAGAATCATTATGTGGATAGATTATTGATATTGTCGATTAGGTCCAACCNTTCTCTTCTTTTTCTTTTGATTTTTTTTGGGGAAAATCATAAAGCATACAAAAAGAGAATCAATCAAGGAATTTGAGAAATCAAGAGCTAGCCATTATCAATTGTATAACATGGGCTAAATATTTGTGTTGAAATTTATGGCAGTAGCTTGGCCTAACTTTAATTAATTTAATACTTGATCTTTTAAGTTAAAATACTTATTTTCATGTATATTTACTATTGATTTTCATGCTATTCATTTATTTGGCCAATAAATATTTGTGTTATGTGATTTGTTCGATTAATGAGAAATACTTGTATATTTTTTAGACCACGGAGTATATTTTATGGATATATGCTTGGAGGAGATCTAAGATGTGAAATTTGTTACACAATGCATCGTATTGGGCAATGTTTCTATTCATACACTGATGTATTCAAGTTGAAACGTTTTTGATTTAGACAATACTTAAGGTATCGAAAGCAAGCACTTGATCATTCTGATGAAAGTTAAATGCTCATGTGAGATTTTGTACCTGACGATTGGGAAGATGATATCAAGCTTATGGGAGATGGTCATCCTTTATTCAATGAGAAGGTACTTGTAAAATAATATCATGAACTTGTAAAGTTGGATGAAGATTGTTGGCATCTGACCTGCGACCTAATTAAATCCATTTGTTAAGTACACTCAGCTTATGTTAGATTAAGGTCGGATTTATAAGGTCAGCTCGTATTTATGACCGACGTGGTTTAAGGGAACATAATGATTATAGATTGCTTACACACTGTTAAAACATCCAATCTATTAATTACATTCAGGACTTACGTCAGCGTCCACCTATTCCACCAATCATATGATGTAATTTCATCCTATCATTGGTTCATTAATTGTTGGGGACCATTTAAAGAGCGGTTTCATGATAACCTGACGAGTCGACCTCAGTAACCAATAGGAATATGCCATTAATGTGTTTTTTCAGTTCGGGAATGTTGATTGACAAGATGGGGATATGAAAGATATTGGCTCTTCTTTTTGTATAAAAAGGAGCATGGTATCCTTAGAAAAAAAACACCTTCATATTTCAAATATCTCATTTGATAAAAACTCTTTGTAATTTGTAAGTGATCATCAATAAAAATCCTTATTTACATTCAAAGTTGACTAGAATTGGTCCATACACTTTTCAACGCCAACAAAGATGATATGATTGTGGAAGATTTCATGTACTGCAATGAATTTCAAAAGTGGGGGTATAGTGAACTCGGCGGAGTTAATAGGAAAGGCTTGCCTTTGCCCGTAGAGTTTGATTGCGGACCAATCATTCAACCCGATGAGAGTTCAACCGTTGAAGAAGAGCCTAAAATGAATGAAAATTTAATCACAACGGAGCTAAATGGGGACGTGACAATCAATAAGGAGAGAATCAACTTACATTCTTCTGACTCAGTTGATTGTCAAGATATTGAAATTTTGATTAAACCAGATGAGGAGGTTGAAATCTTTATAGTTGAATTTGAATTGGATAGAATAAGCAAGTCATATTATATGGAAAAATGGCAATGTTGAGTTTTGGAGATCCAATGAAGAGTGGAACAAAATGAAACAAAGAAAAATGAACAAGGCATCCAAAACCTCTTTTGGATCTTCAAAATTTTCAAAATCTCGAGGGGCAATCTACAAATCGACCTCCCTTCTTTGATGACACAAATTATAATTATTGGAAAGGTAGAATAATGATTTACATTCAATCAATCGATTATAATATTTGGGAAGTCATTGAATATGGTCCTTATGTGCCTACCAAAATTATCAAAATTGATGGAAAATCCGATCAGTCTATTCCAAAACCTAGAGAGGAATATGATGAAAATGATAAAAGAAAATTGTCCTTGAATACTAGAGTCAAAAACTTACTTTATTGTCCCTTGAATAGAAATGAATTTAATCGTATTAGTTCATGTGACTCCGCATATGATATATGACATGCTTTAGAAGTCACTCATGTTGGAACTAGTAAGGTAAAAGAAACCAAGATTAATTTTTTGGTCAATGAATTTGAAAATTTCTTCATGAAACAAGATGAACTTATTGTTGACATGATTAATTGCTTCACCAATATTGTTAATGGATTCAAGGGCTTTGATCGTAAATTTACTAACGATGAACTTGTAAGGAAAATGCTTAGGTTATAAGATTGGAGCTGATTAAGAATGTTGATAGAGAAAACCAAAGATATCAACTCTTATCATTTGGAGTAACTCTATGGAACCTTGATGACATACGAGCTCAAAAACATATAAACCAATGAGAAGACGAGAAAAAGGAAAGAAGAACCAAAAGAACCTCCAAGGGGTCAAATTGTTCTCAAATCAGCAATTGAAGAGGGAACTACAAGTGAACACATGAGTGATGAAGATCTCGTGCTTCTTGTCAAAGAATGGAGAGACTTTCGAAACAATCAGAAATTTCAAAAGAAAGAGGAAAAGAGCAAGAGAGAAGCAAGAAAATCATTTGTTATGATTGCAATAAACCTGGTCACAAGAGAATTGAGTGTCCAAACAAAAAGAAAAATTTCAAGAAAAAGACACTCCAACCACCATGAGATGAAAGCGACGATGACGATCACGACGAAAATGAAAGTCAAGAAGAGATCTCTAACATGTACTTCATGGCAATCGATGATGAGGTAAATTCTATTGAAAAATTTTCATATCAAAGAATCGGGTGTCCAAACAAAAAGAAAATTTTTAAGAAAAAGACATTCCAACCAACATGGGATGAAAGCGACGATGACGATCACGACGAAAATGAAAGTCAAGAAGAGATCTCTAACATGTACTTCATGGCAATCGATGATGAGGTAAATTCTATTGAAAAATTTTCATATCAAAGAATGGGGTGTCCAAACAAAAAGAAAATTTTTAAGAAAAAGACATTCCAACCAACATGGGATGAAAGCGACGATGACGATCGCGATGAAAATGAAAGTTAAGAAGAGATCGCCAACATGTGCTTCATGGCAATCAATGATGAGGTAAATTCTATTGAAAACTTTTCATATGATGATTTATCTTCCTT